ATGGTCGATCCTCACAGAGCGTGCGATGCGATGCGATGCGCTGCGTTTCCGTATTTTTCGAGTTTTCGACCGGGTCTGCCAGTGCTGTAGGCTATACCCTACAGCATATACTGAAAGCATGTAAAAGTCGGAGACTTCGGAGGGCCCCAGTGTTAGCTAGCCGAGAATCGGTAGCTCGAGGACCAAAAGTAGGGGTCACACACCCGCTGTCCACTTACACATAGACGAAAAGGTCGATGCGATTCACTTACACATAGACGAAAAGAAACGCATGCGATTTTTCCGAAAGTGTTCTCGCCAAGAAATCCCGAGGATTTCATCGCAGAGGCCATAAAATCGACCTTTTCGTCTATGTGTAAGTGAACAGCGGGGGGTCTGACCCGTACTTTGGGTCCTCGAGTTACGGATTCTCGGCTAACTATTACGGGGGCCCTGCAAAGTCTCCGACGTTTACATGCTTTTAGTATATGCTGTAGGGTACAGTCTACGGCACTGGTAAACCCGGCCGTAGGCTCGAAAAATACGGAAACGCAGCGCATCGCATCGCATCGCACGCTCTGTGAGGATCGACCATTACGGTAATGTGAACATTGTGAACACTCCTCTAGAGGGAGAGCTCCTACACTACGTCGATAGCTGACCTCTGAAATGGTTTCTCCGCAGTGGTTGTGATGCATAGGTTGTTTTAAGTTTGTTTTATTCAATTGGCAAGAATGACATGTCTTAATGTAGTTTCTAATGTCACTTTTCATTGTAGACCAGCGATATCTTTCTTTGATTCTAGAGTAGGTACGATTGAAACCACAATGTCCGGCTAATTTGCTATCGTGGGATTCCTTAAGAATGACTTGTATTTCATCGCGGTTTTTAAGAACAATTTTCTTTATATTTAAGTATTTGATATCGTTAGAAGGAATAAAGAATTTAACAATTTCGTTAAAAATTTCAGGCTTGATACCATGTGTTTTTTTTTTGGAAGAATTAGAATGAAATCCTTCGATTTTATTGCATCTTGGAGATTCGTGAAACTCTGAAACAAGTCACGAAAGGATTTTGTCGTGGTGTAGATTTTTGGGAAATAGGATTAATAGAGTTTGATTGTTATTTTGCAATTTATACAACCCATTAGGGCTTGATGTTAATTCGGTTGCATCGAAGTTCTCCGTCACGTAATCTGAGTAGGGATTTTCCTTATCAAAATCTTCAGATCATAACAGTAATATTGTACATTTTACTTTTGGAAGAGGTGTCTCTTCTTTTGGGATTTCAATTATGTCTCTGATTGTGCAATGGAATTTCGTGAAGTCTTGATACGTTTTATTGGGTTCGTGTGCGTCGAATATGGATTCAGAGTGTTCTTTTGAATCAGGATGTGGTCGTGATAGACCGTCAGCGTTAGAATTTATTCTTCCGGGTTTGTATTGTATAACGTACTTGTACGTATTCGTTAAGGCGTAATACGGCAACGCTGCTCACAAGCTTAAACCAGTTTTTTAAAGGACCGTATAAAATGGCGGAGAAACTAGGAAATGATAGATATATTAGATTATCATTCAGTAAATAAAACAAAAATGAACTGTTGTGATTAGTAATATTAGAGAATAGTATTAACTAGAGATAAGCTTGGCTTCGCCTTCTTGGAAAAGGGGCATCTGGCTGTACCCGGCTCTTAAGGGCTGGGGGGTCATAAACACTTTCCAGACCCAGGCCGTTTCTTTCTTTGTTCAGGGGGTCTAAGTAAGAGTTTTCTTCAGTAACAGTCTAGAGTTAGTCTTGTCTCATTGAGAGTCAGTCTTGTCTCGTTGAAAGTCTCGTCCAGAGCGTCAAAGTATAAAGAGGAGTGAAAGTTTCCATTCGTATCTTTTAAATAGTTTTAACAGAATATCTAACATTTATTTTAATATTAACCCCCCTATATCCTAATAAGATATACCGTCACAGACGTAGATGGATTTCAAGACACGCAGAGAGCTTATCGAGGGGTATGGCAAGCGGCAAATATGAGACTATGGCGACAAACGTAAATAATCATTAGTTTAAGTTTGCTTCTATAATAACTATTAGTTAAGGAAGGTTGTTTATAGGCGTTTGGTTATTTTAATTCTGTAATATTATTCCGCCGAGGGCGTCGAATAAGTCAGGAAGGCCGAATATAGAAGAGCAGAATTAAAGGTGTGTGTACTACCGACACCAGCGTGACGTTGCAGCACGAGATACAAAAAGAAATAAAGGTGCGGATTCGAGAGTAGAGAGTGAAGGAGTGTGTTGCGGCGTGTGCTTAATTGCTTATGTTAAAATTATATTACGTTAGAAATATATCTTCTCTCACGTTCATTCTAACGCGTTTACGTTCTGCCATTCCCTACAAATTATTTGAAATTCCCTATACCGAAGCATTTGTGTTGTAGGTGACTATGGTAAATAAATCGATTGAGGGTCATCTTAGTCACCATTGAAACACTGCCACGTAAAAGACTTTCGTCTTGTTCTGACGTATGAATGGCTGCGAGGATTCGAAACGATAGGTCTTCGATCCTTTGAAGAAACTGCGAAACGTTCTCATTTTTCTTTTGAACCGTAGAATTTAATTCCTCAAACAACTAATCGAGAAACTTTTTATCTTAATAGAGACTTAAAAGAAGTTCGGATACTCTTTCCCAAGTCGTAAGATTGTAATGAATGTCAATTTGTTCATATACTTTACCGGAATTTTTATAGCGAGTTTTTGGGCTTCCGAAGTTAATTCGAAGATTCCGTCGATTTGTTTTACAAAGCTATGAATTTGATATCGATCGCCATCAAATTTTTCTGGGATTAGTTTAACTAAACATGAAAGTTCATACGTTGACTCTGGCCTCTGAATTTTGTTAGACATGATTAAAGAAGGTTCAGGGGAAGAGAAGGGAAAGAATTGTTTACACTGACGAACATCTACCGAGCAGTACTTACTGTGGAAGCTTTTCCTCTGCGATCGGTGCTGACGTTGCTAGATCCAGTAATTTCAAACCAGGTTGCAGAATTTCCTCTGGTACACTGTTTCCTCGTACTTCGTCTCTTTCGATGTCCACGTCCTCAGCAACTTGAATGTTGCTACTCGGTCCTCAAGGTAGACTCGCTATTTCCACTTATATTCACTGTAGGTATATGTAGTGCTGAACATCCTATCCTCGTCGCCAAAATATATGTATTGTATTCCGTAGAGGTGATATTTATTATATTTAATAAGAGTCAACTCCGAACGGAAATTTATGCGAAGATTTTTTAAGCGTATGCAGTAGTAATAAACTCGGTAGATTTGGCTCGTGGCTTTAGACTGAACAGAACGAACTTTCTTTCTCATGTTTTTGGAAAATACGTATATATATACACTCGGAAAGAACAGTGGAGAGGGCTGAAATTAGTAACGGTTGGTAAGCATAGGTCGAAGATTAAAGATGACCTAGAGTACAAAGTGCAGGATAATGTAGAGCTGGATGTAGATGAGTTCGAGTTAAGGATGAGGTCATCGGAGAAGTGGAATTGTTGGACCGGGTATCTACGTATGTTTAGTTAGATTAGGATACAACAGTGCTTCGAACGTCGTGTATATTATATTTTGATTGTTTGTATATTTAGAATCGGACTGATGGACTCTTCTTTATACCTGTTTTTAGCAGTTATACATTATTACATGGAATGGAAATTGTTAAAGTGGCCACAAATGGTACATCTACTCTATTGGCTGCGTCAACAATCAATCATATATTGTTATCAATATTAACAATCGGATCCTTGTAATGCAGACATATCAAAGAGTGACGATTTTCGTATCAAATAAAGGTACAATAGTGAATTATCTTTTATTCATCACATTTATTCCCGCAATAATAATATTATACATAGATACCATTCACATTTTCCAAGGTAACCAACAATTTTTGGAGAAAATGAGATTGAAACATCAATCCACGATAATTTGTTGATATTGGACAATATTTTATTGAACTCCATGATTAATAATTCGCAGTTGGCAACGAGCCACATAACGAGCTATTGGATTCTGAGCCGATGTTTAAATAAATTGTCAAGTTGTCTGGCATCATTTGTAGCGAGGTCTTGTAGATGTACATAAAATGATTGCGTTCAAGGTAAAGTACCTCTAAATTAGAAGGCAAATTTAAATGATCCAGGGATTCTAGCTTGGTGAATTTGTTTCCTGATAAATTTAAATACCGAAGATTCTTCATGGGCTGAGACCAATTTACTGGCAAATGATCAAGTTTGTTGTCATCTAAGTGCAGTTCTTTTAAAAATTGTTGGTTTTGAAACACGTCTGTGTGAAGGAATGAAATTTTATTATTACTTAAAATTAATTTCTGTAAATTTGGCACGCTGATAAAAGAGTTGACTGATAAGTATTGTATTTGATTACATTTCAATGAAAGCGTCGTTATGGTTGACGAATTTAGGTTCGGAATATCTACTAACGAATTGCGATCTAATACAAGGATCTCGAATGATTCCGAAATGTTAAGGGACACTAAGTTGGCAGTAGATAAAGCGTTGCCGGATAGATTTAAATATCGAAGATTCGCTAAGCTTGTAAATGCTCCCTCATCGATGGAACTGATTCGGTTATCAGCTACTGATAAAATTTCCAACTGCTTCAATGCCGATAAATTAAGTCCATTTTCACCTATTTGTTCAATTTTATTGTCAGCTAACCACAGGAGAGACAGATTAGTCAATCTTGGCGCATAAGACGTGATTAAGTTCCTACTAAGGTCAAGATATATTAGTGTGTTAGGTAACAAGGAAACAAAGGAAGACTTTTCTTTCTTGTTTTGTGCGAAATTAAGGTATTTCAATTTTGGGAATGGATTTTCTTGCCTGGCTCTGACGTACCCAACGACAATATTACTTAAGTCCAAGTATTCAAGTTCAGGATATACATTATTTATTTCTATATCTCCTGAATAATAAGTGTTTTGACCTCCAAGAAGCAGCACTTTAACGGTCGGAAGTGGGCCAAAAGAGAATAAATTGCTCGGATTAATTTGGTTCTCTCGAAGATCAAGATACTTCAAATTTGGTAAATCCTCGAATGCTCCTGACATCATACTAAGTCCGGGAGATCTTAAGGTAATACATCTTATGGCAGAAGAGGCGATGAAACTTCTTGTAACGCTTGACGATGCAGGTAAATCGAGTCTTAGCGATTCATTCTCGCAGATATCTGAAATGTTCCTTATCTGTTCATAGATATCTGGCGTATCAGCTGCTTCGTAAGTGTCCACAGCGTTCACGAGTTCTGCAACGAAGTTGATAGGTGTCGTGTTTCCAACGGCGATTAACGGAAAGACAATTAATGCACCGAAGATGATTGACCGTCTCATCGTTTCCGGTTCGCTAGAAATGAAATGTAATTT